ATATATATATAAAATTATCACAACTATATATTTAATATTACTCCCACTAGTGTAGTATACTACTCCCTTACAAGTCCTAAGTGTGTGACCCTTTAGGTATCCATAACACTGGCAATGATATTAATAAAATTAATACCATAGATAATAAGCGGTATCTAGCAACACATTATTACCCCCAGATTATGAAAAAGACGTTCATCTCATCAATACCTTCTACGACACAAGACATTCTATAACTATTATCCTTCTGTCCTAAATGTCATGATTTAACACAAGGCACGGGATGTGTATCCTTGTATAGTTAAATCAGCTGTTACTGAATCTCAAGTAGACTGGCAGGGATCAGATATTTATCAGTCTCTAGATAGCGACATATCTGGGCATGGCCATGCACTTTCCCAAGTCCTACTATTCAGTGGGCCCATTGACATTATACTTCTATACAGTAGAAGGGACAGATCCCGTGTCTGTTATTCACATCTCTAAATATGCTTAGCGGCATACCCAATGCATAACTGTACGTCTACCAGTATTTCAGATAGCATTAGTTATGAATCAAAGCATACGGCCCCACATATCAGAGAATGTAATAACTTCAAGTCCGAGGATAGTTATAGCAAGGTCGATTTGAGAATACTGATAAACACATTACTGTAGATCCATGCAGTATTCTCAAGATGGGTCAATCCAGTCACATATTATTGATATAATATGCACCTACGTACAGATTAAGATATCACAATACCTATAGTCTATGAGATGCAACTATCTCATCTCGTACGTACTAGTCTTGATACGTTATGACGTCCGTATTATCATAAAGTGCGACTAGGGATATTCTAGACTTAGCCTTCGTCAAGAAGTAACAGTCTCATAATCAGAACATCGTAGTCCTCATCTATGTTGCTGAAGCGCTATCGTCTATGGACTGAAGCTATGTTATGTTACACGAGATATAAAACATACTTCAAGGCCTTTCATTCACGATAAAGTGTACAGTTACATAGGTATTTGATTGCCGCTAGGGCACCTAAATACAACAGTTGTATTGAAAGGCCCGCACACATCACTATGAATGAGTGCCAGAAGATCACCAGCTCTTTCACCGTATCCGGTGAAAGGAGATTTGGTCATCTTACTCAATAAACAAGATTCACATGTGTCATATGATTCAAGATCAAATGACTCTAGCATTCCCGACCGATGTAGCTTGGATATGCGTTTCTCGTTTATATGGCCTAACCTACAATGCCATAGGTATGTTTGGTTCAAACCGTTCGGTTTGTTCCTCTTGGCTGATATGTTATAGACAGGCATGTCCAAGTCAAGGACATATAACCCATTGGTCATGTTGGCATTAGCATAGAAAACATTCTTTCTGTAAACGGAAAGGGACTTGTCTTTAATAGAAATGATGAAACCACTCTTATCAAGACATGAAACAGAAATAATGTTTCTGCTAATTGCAGGAACGTACAAGCAATCGTTTAATTCCAACATTAGACCACTAGGCAAGACTAAACTATAAGTTCCGATTGCCAAAGCTACAACAGGTGCACCATTGCCGACTCGGAGTTCAATCTTGCCTCGATTTAACCGTCTACTCTACTTCAGTCCCTGCATGGTAGTACAGATATGAGACCCACATCCAGTATCTAGTACCCATGATGAAGATATAGACATGTTA